TAGAGATAAGCAAATAAAAAAAATGCTTTATTATAAGAACCATGCTGAATAAAAACCTTTACTGTCAAAAGAGGTCAATTTTTGGTGTTAATGATTAATGTGTTGTTAATGAGCCCAGAGTAGCAAAAAAGGCCAGCTATTATTCAACATTTGCTGAGAGTTGGCTTCTGAGAAAGCATCGATGAGATAAAACTTTCCAGCATTCAAACACTCACTCGTTAAACTCTGCTGGAAGTGTACAGCTGATTTTTTTTCCCCCCTTTTTTCATCTAGTGGGTGGATATTTTTCAATGACACTCTTTATCTTGGTTTCTGAGCCCACTGGTTGTGAGTGGGCAATCTGAAGGCACTATGCTCACTATCAAATTATGCATGATTCTAAATCAAGACGGCCTTGTTGTCTCTGGGGATAACTACAATGTAAAAAGAAAAAAGGAAAATGTGATACGCCTTAGTCTCGTCTGCATCTTGTGATTTTTGTGTCTTAACTCTGTCGTTTCAACTGTGCTTGCCCAAATTCTTTAAATAACTCATTTCATACCATCAAGTCTTGCCATATTATTCATCTGTTAACTCATGTGAGCAGCTGTGCCCTGGGACTGCCTGCATGTCAGGAAACAGCTGTGGGGATTCACAATACCTTAACCAGTTCCACATTCTGCCCTTAAGGAGAGCCAGCCATGTGAGATCATGCTTTTAGGTGTGTCCAATTACCAGGGCCAGCTCAGAGCTGTGCACTGTCAGAGGACTGAACCAATATGCGTCTCTTTGGCAAAAGAGAATGTTATTGTAAAAATGTCATGCAAGCACAGTATTTTTCTTGATATTAAAAAGATAGTTCCCAAGAACACTTCAACACCACTTCGCAATACTGCTAGCACTGCCTCTAGGTAAATAATACTTGCATTAGTGCCAGCAAACATTTTTGCATTAAATCAGCCAGCCAACTGATTCTGGCAGCGTCAGTATTTGGACAACAAATGAAGCATAGCTTCGGGGGTCACTGAAAATGTTCCCGTACGGCTGCGCTTGAAAAGTAGAGAAGCAGCAGGTTAGTCTCCCCAAATAAAAGAAAAAAAATTGAGAACATATGTCTTTAACTATCTCCACCACACCCCAGCTGAGGATGGAAAAGTGGTTAAACCACCAAGAAATTGAGTTACAAACTACTTTATAAAATATGAACATGCAGTACCATGCAGAAGCATGTACACTCCCTGAACTTTTTCACACTTTTTCTTAGCAAAGTCACAAACTATAATGAGATTTGGGAGTAATTTGGAGAGACAAACTAACATTGCAACCCAGTACATAACTGAAGTGGATGAAAACAAATTATACAAATAGAAACTTGCTTCCATTCAGCAACCTTTATACTGAGACCCCTAAGTAAAGTCCATTGCAACTAACTGTCCTCAGATCTTACACAATTATATTGTCAATGTATTGTCAGGATGTTGTTTGAAGGCCTCAGAAGTTTTTTAATGAACAATTAACAAAGCTTCATGAAACCAAGGAACAGACCAGGCATGTAAAGGATACAGATTTTCATATGTTTAAATAAAGAACCACTCTTTAATTAATCACCTCAAACTGAATAAAGCATGACATAACTACAGACCTACCAAGACATGTCCTTTCACCTAAATTAGCAGGCATGTTGATGCTGTTTCAAAATGTATTTTGTTTTTGCGTAGTTTCTTCTCTATTACATATTTTTGTTATTCCAATCTAGGTTCTATAATTCCTAAATAACTATCAATCAATTACTTTTAGCAAATGTAGCTTTTTGTGTTTGTTTTTTTTCATGTATTACCTTACGACAGTCAAAACAAGAACTTATTTATTTATGCCAGAAGACTCAAGAAATAAAACCAATGATGTTCTATGTGTTTAAGACAAAGTAATTTGCAAAATAGGATATGAGGGATTTTTTTTCTTCATTTTTTGGTGGCATTTGGCTCCATTAGGTTGTTTGTTAATTGCTATTAAACAATAAGTAGAAAAATAACTAATCACTGTCCCTTGAAAACAACATCACACTTGGTAACAGGGTCAATCACAGATTTCTGTCGGCTACTTGTTCAGAGTGGCTTTCAGCGGCTGACCAAATCACTCTGGTCACTCTGGAAGAAATTTTAGAGTAAGATAGTAGCTCTCTGAGAATATTTGTGCATCCTGGCACTGCTCTTTATGGAAGAGTTGCAAGGAAAAAAATCATTCTGAAAATAAACACAAAATGTTTCATTTGTAGTTTGCCACAACTATTTAAACTTTTCAAAGAAAATGCTTGCCCAGTTTTGGTCAGAAAGGGCACATTATGTGGTAGAATATTAACATTGCAACTAACTCTGAAGGCACCATCCCCAAAGCAAAACATGTTCGTGGCCACATCTTGCTGTGAGAGTGCTCCTCTGCAGCAAGCACACAATCAATGCTTAGCAGAGTTAATGGGAAGATCAATAGAACTGTACAGAGCCATTCCTGTCAGAAATCCTGTTAGAAGCTGCATGCGACCTGAGATCAAGCAGAGAGTTGACACTCACTCCATCCACACAAAGAGCCTGAATATACAAGCTGATGTTTTTGTGCTGAATAAAATTCAAATGGAACACACTGAGGTTTATAGCTATAACTTGAAATAAAATAAGAAAAGTATAATTCTTTGCAAGTCAAAATAAGAGGGAGACTCTTTCATGCACACTTTTTTTCACAAATGCAAAATAGCAAAAATAAGTAATGGTTGGAAAGTTTGAGCAGTTGGTCTTGACTGTCACCTTAAATTTCATCTCAAAATCTCAGCCAATTGGCAACAAATTGCTAAAGCAGTGAAGAGACTGAAAAGGCTCTGGAAACTCACTTTCCACTTTTTAATGATTCCAACCACAGTAATAGAAGCAGCTGACATCACCTATGACTCTATATGGACCAAAAATTGATGGGAAATTCCATCAAGTCACACCAAGCACTTCACCAGCACCTTTTTTTTTTTCTTGCAAGGAGGGAGGGGAACGTGTTTATAATACAATATCCTCTGTAACCCCAGTGGATGCGTGACTTCCACAACAATCATCACGCACAGCACAGTGACAGAGACTGCAAGTTTAGCCTCCAAAATAGTTCCCATGACCTTTGCATGTGGTCCAGGGGGGTATTTCTCAGAAGAAGAAAAAATAATAATAACAACACTGTAAGCAGGAAATGAGGAGGGTTCAGAGGCTGAAACGTCTGAAGCAACCCTGACTCCGCTGAAATGTACTGACTTTAAGGAATGTAAGTTAAAAAGTCGGTAAATTGGGTGACAAAGGTGTCATTGTGCTCCTGCGTCAAACAGCTGGGAATACAGCTGGTTGCGTGCACAGGTGAAAGTTTCGCGTGTTATTTTTGCATAAAAACGGGGATGAAATTCTCCAAATATATAAAGATGCTTTAAGCTTAAGAAGAATAACATTTCTTGTAACAAATAAACTGTTTTATTTTTTATTTTATTTATTTATTTATTTTTTACACCACCCCCCTCTCACTGACTGTTTTTGCTGTAGCCTACTTACCTCAAGGAAGTGCTCCGCGCATGGGGCTGGGATCCACGATCATCCATGACTAAACTCATCGGCCTTACGAAATCCTTGGGACAAGTCAAACACAAACAGAAAGCGCAGTTCATCTTTAGCGAGAGCCGTCATACCAAAAGCACTCTTCGCTGGTGTTTTCATGCGACACCAATACCAAAAGGTGGGCGAATCCCCCGCATGAGGTCACCAGCTCGAGTCCTGTTAACTGTTTCTGCAAAGAGAAGAAACAAACTGTTTCTGATTGCGACTTACCATGAATTCAGATGGGTCTCACAGCAGATGACAACTTCCATTAGTCCTTTAGGAGGGAAGACGTCAACGCTCCTAAAAACAGATTTTGGGTGAAAACATAATGTCGCTCCTTTAATGAGGACGTTTTGAAAAGCGGACGTTATGCCGCTCCGCTCATTTAAGCGCCTGAATCTTGCGTTATTTCTCTCCTGACACTTTAGCCAACAGGACGGTGCCAACTTTCATCTGGAGCTGCATCACAGACACAGAGCTGTAAAAAGCGGGGCGGTTCTCGGTTCGTCACACTTTCCAAAAGGGCCCTTACTTTGTGTTCAGTTTTATAGCTTAAATTTAAATAGAAATAGAAACAACTCGATATAAACTTTAGATTTAGCACCACAAAGTCAAATCGTCAACATTAAAACAACCTGTAGCTTGGGAAAACACACCAGCGTGGCTGTTTAGAATGTGTTTTCTGAATGTATTGTCCAGAGCGACACCATGTGGCGCTTTGTGGAAACACTTTTTATGTGAAAAATGGTGATCATTGTGTTACTATTTTTATACAATGTAAATATCTTTTTTGTTCTTTACAAAATCTTGTTGCTGATTAAAATTTGCACAAGCAAAGTCCCACAGTCTGCATAAATGAAATAAAAGTTTTTAAAAAATAATGGTAAAACTTAAGTTTTTTTTAAATACCAAAGAAAAAAATTGTTTAAATCTTAACAATAAAAGATACAAAGTCTAAATAAAACATGTTGATAAGACACAATATTGATACAGATTCAAAATTTACACAATATAAGCAGTGTGTGCTTATATTTTTTTAAGCACACATTGTAAATGAAGTCTGTGCGACTAATAATTTACTTTCATTGGTTGCATGTTTTTTATTAGAACTCATGGGAACAATAAACATGTTGTGTGCTGCATAACACATCCGTTTGAAAATGGGTTGGAACTGGCTTTAAAAACAACATGAATAGTGAAAATTGTTCAATAAGTTAAATGACTGTTTTTTCATATCTTGAATAACTCCATTGTTAAATTCTTGCTTTGTGTAATTGGTTCTCTAGCTCAAACCTAAAGAACATCCAACAAAAAGAAAAAAATAAACAGAATAAGCAGAAGACAATATCTGAATGGAGAGATATTTTATTGAAGTTTTTTGAACCTCATCTCTCCATAATGCACTTAAATACGCCATTGCCCTTATGGTTGGAATATAACAGTTTGTTACTTCTTCTAAAAAGACAACTTTGACAATAATACAATGCATTCAAATCTAGATAAATATATTATGTGTTCTGAAAATCAAGATCACAGTGAAATTGCAACAGCAATATAAAAGCAAAGGGTCCAACTAAAGGTGCAGGACCATATTATTTGGGTATAATCACACTCGGGGAATTTTCAGGATTTAGTAATTTGTCAAAATGGATACTTCTAAATACAAAAGTTATTTCATCACTGTTGTTGATAAGGATAACTCTTTGTTTAATCCATAATTTTATATCAAAACATGCAATTAGTCAAAAAATGAAGATAGAAAGTTAGAATCCTCTTTCTTCAGCACCTCAGAATTATAGACAGTTAAGAAAAACAAAACTATCTCATTATACATGAGACACTACTCATGTATAAGCTAAATTATAAGAAAAATAAAGGATCCAGTATCCAAACAGCTCAAATTAGCACTCTCTCCTGAGGTAGGAATAAGAATACTTGATCCACATAAAGACATTGTTGCCCTTTGTTTATTTGTGCGTCAGTGTATCTCTAGGGAAAATACATATGTGGGGCAGGTTTCTGTCATTCAGGGGGTATCGTGCCAGAAACGTTGGCATCAGCACAATAGAACATCTCAACACCGTGTGAGCAATCTTGAGGGAAGACACCAATCAGTATCAGGCCAGTGATCATAACAAATAAGCCAATTATTATCAGCATGATGGGAATTAGCTTTTCACCACGGAACCAGTGGCCTGGGCTGAGCTTGAGGTAGCACGCCGATGGGATGATAAAGATCAGAGGTGTGGCACTCAGAACTCCCTGGATGGCAGAAGAAAAAGCAATAAGTTCATTCTGAGAATTTGCATATAGCTGAATGATGTTAGATAAGCAGGTAGAGCCTGTCTGAACAGGTACAACTTACATTTAGCTCTAAAACAATTCCCAGGCAGTCATAAGCCAGGGATAATGCTGTGCAGACACCAACTATGAGTAGAGTTATCGATGCATGTTCAGCTTTGGAAAGAGGACGACTGCATATGACATTGGAAAGCACCTGAGGAAACAGACAATAGGAAGAAAACCTAATCTTTTGAAAACAATGAGGAAATTATTACATTGAACATTAATCAATCAACTCTGGTTGACTGAATCTGGTCTTCAGAACACTGTGTAAACCCATTTATGGAAACTTCAGCAGCTAAAGTTTTAGGTTGGCCTTTCCAAATATGACTTACCTCTCGGGTAACAAAACACTCGAGTGGAAATGTTGTAATTATGCTGAGGCCGAAGCAGAACCGACCAAATGTTGCCAGGTTATCATTTCTGCAGTAGTTCTCAAAAATGTCTCCTGAATATAACCCAAATGCAAAAATAAATCATTATTGAAGATGAAAAGATAAACAAATTTAATACAGTAATGGGCTGCATTGCTATACAGTTTAGATTCATACCTTGTGTGTAGCCTGTGAATGTTGTGTAGCCTGCAACAGCGAATGCAGCACTGATTATCAGTGCAGAGCCCACAGAGATGTGGGTGACCCGAGACCAGTTGGATAAAGTGGGATGCTCTAGAGAGTTGTAGATCAGAAAGCTGTTGTGGTGGCATATAAAGGCTAAAGAAACATAAACACGCATGTTAATGGAAAATTAATTCTTTCAAGATTTACATCAATAAACTGAGGTGCTTGCCTAATTTTAAACTAAGTCTATGATATTTAGTAAAAAGTACATGTAGTAATTAATTTCTATGTATATGTTCCTACATTACTGAAATATCAGGATGTCAATTGTGATTAGACAACAATAAAAGAGAAAGCAAACTGAAATGAAAAGTGTTTGCTATTGTGGCCTGATGTAGAATTTTAAGTGAACGATGGAGTAACTAAAAGCAGGCATTATTTATGAGAGACGTGTTTAAATAAAATCAGATTTTACTGATCTGTTTGTCTCACTGGATAAAAGTACTGTCTGGAATGACTTGGAAACATCAATTCTCTGTCATGCGGCTTTGCATCATAAAACTTACCAAAAGACATCACACCAACAGCCTGAATGGCATTCCACTTTGCGAATACCCACGCCGTCTCTGTAGGAACACTAGAAAGGGACTCTAACATTAATGTCAGTAAAACAAAGATATAGACATTTCTTTCCAGAAGTGCTTGTTCACAAAATTTTTTGTCAGGTTTTAGACTTATCCATACATCTGCGGTCCAAGAGTAGCTGCTCGGATCATGACGATGATGAGGATGGTGAGTGTTAGCACCATTGACATGAAGGACACCTGGTAACACAAGATTTAATCAGCAAGATAATCTTAGAAGTACACAGGATGTTGATACTTAGATATAACCGTACCTTCCCAAGTCTCTCGATGTTTCGATAAAGTGAGAGCGGCAGGGTGAACAGACAGGTAGACAACAAGATCACAAAGTGGCGCTCTGCAAGGATGTGGTCTGGACCAACTACAAACATTGGATAAAAGATTAATTAAATTTCTGTACGTGAGTTAGATTATTATTTTGTTCTTTATGAATAAAATAAAGTCCATAATATTTATCCGTCTATGTCAAAAGGTAGTTACCTACCTCCTGGGATTCTCTGAAATACTTTGGACAGTGTGTCACCAGTTGTGATGTTATAGCTGATCATGGCTGAAGAAGACAGAAGATGAATCAGTGTTTTATTGTTAAGACTGTCTGTTGTAATGTTTCTACTATGCAATAACCACAAATGAAGATAAAAAGAAAGATAAACAGGACACAGAGCAGCATAAATAAATAATTATTTCTCCTTCTGGTGTTTTAAAAACATACCTATGAAAGGATACAGAAACTGTAGAGCAGATAAAATCAAAAATCCAGGAAAACCAAATGTGTTTTGTACCAGCGACTGATAACTGTTTGATCCTGAGAGATTTCCTCCTTTAATTAGTAGAACAATTGAGTAGTCTGTCAAAAACAAAACAGGCAAAAACAATTAATTACATTTCCATTTTTTAAAGTCATCCTTGTTTTCCACCTTTTTATGATACGATCCATTTTCAGTGTTATCTCTCACCTGTTATAAAACCAACCAACATCAAAAGGAGCAGGCCGAATGGAAGCCCAGCCTGGTTCAATGCGTATGGCAAACCTAGTTTTGGGAAAGCACAGTTAAAGTTCAAAATTAAATATCAAACTTTTTCAAAGCAGGAAAAAAATTGTTCAAATTTATAAAATATATTCAAATCATTACTTGAAGCTTCATGAACAAAGCCAGGCTTATTAATAATTGATTATACAACAAAATCATTATTACACCTTGGATTGCTTTGTTTTATATATATATATATATATGCAGTCAGAAGCTGTAACTTGAAATTTGCCAACTAAAGAAAATCTGAAAACATTTTTAAGCATTTGTTCTGGGTCCTGTTCTCTGTGATACCTCTGAATAAAAAAAGTTAGTTCAAACAAATATTTGAAGTGACCTGAGTGCACCCGTGTTTTAATATAACCTCAGTAAGACTGTAGGTTGTCACAGGCGATCAAGGGGACACTAGCCTTGCCATTGCCTTCCTACCTACTTGTGTCCGATTCTAATCTCCCCTTAATATTTCTGCAGAGTTTTCTCTTTTGAGCTTGATTCCTCTGAATGAATTTCATCCTGGACAGTCAGCGAACAGAAGAAATAGCGAACAATGATGTTGATTTTCTGTGCCTCTTTAGCTTTAGTTTTAGTTCAAATTTATTGAACATAATGTCATAAAAGAATAAACAAAGTTATATACAAAAAAAATAAATTGGAATTTTGACGAATTTCACACTTTAACTATTGTGGCAGCAGAAGTCAATGAAGCCATTCAGTTCATGTTAGCTCGAAAGAATAAAAAAGAATGTGTTCTTGCCAGATCTGACCAAAGGTCAATCCTTTTGCGGACATGCAATTGTCCTGTAAGACAGAAGTAGTCTGAACACATCATCCCACTGGTGAAACTGATGGGAAAATCACTAAACTCAAATACAGGTCTCTGTTAGCATAGTCTATTCAAAATCCAGACCTAAATTTAATTTGCAAATCTGTGTCAAGAATAAAATGAATGAAGAATAAATAAAATAATATCTGGCGCTAGAAGGAAAAAAAAATCAGTATTTTTGCCACGTTATTCCAGTTCAAGAAACAATGTCAATTGTAGCACATTGACATTGTGCTACAATCCAAAATTGTTGGAAAAGTTGTCAGATTACAGTTCAAAACTAAATTTGCAAAGTCTTTGTTGTCTTTTCAGGATCTAATGAATGAATAAATGAAACAGAGGGGGCTCAGCAGGCGCTGGTCATATGATATTGCTGGTCATATGATATTGCTGGATTAAAACGTCTATTGTGGAAAAATAAGCAACAGCAGTTTTGCCATCTCAGAAATCCCAATTTTAGATGGGAATCCTATAGTCTCTTAGTTATTAACAGAACCATACCATTAGGCCGTATAGTCACCTATTATTCCAGATCCTATGATGGAGTTGATAAAATTAAAAGAAGCAGAGATCATTGAACATCTCCATTCAGGTCTGTGCACGTGTATTAATGCTGTCCCTTCTTCGTTGATTTGCTAGAAGAAAGAAAAACACCAGGAGAAATAAGACAATTTAAAACACTGTTTATAATATTTATAAATCCTCGCTCGTCCTACCTGCTGAGCCATTCTGGAGCACCGTGCGGATCCTTTGTCCCTTGACTCTCCTCAGGCGGATTTCTCACATTCTCAACGTTTGAGAAACGCTCCGTCACTTTCAGACTTTATTCCCACTTCTACAACACACTTCTACAACAATCCACAGGAACAGCAGCGCCCTCGCTCGGCCGTACGCGCATCTCGACTAACATCCGACTGGATTATTGCGAGAATTCCGAGATGTTGAATCAAATTAGTGTTATGCTCACTTTGGGAAAGAAGTTCAAGATTGAAACCTAGAGTAGCCTATGAACTTGGAACTTGCAAATTGGGTAAAGGCATTTGACAGAGGATTATTCCCCTTGAGCTATAACAATGTGCGCATTGTTCAAAATGGGGATGTCTTGGTCATTATTTGCGCACGAAACCAAGTGTAAATAAGTGGTGCTGGTTTTTATTATTATTATTATTATTATTATTATTATTATTATTGTTGTTGTTGTTGTTGTTGTTGTTGTTGTTGTAATTTTTTGTATTTCTAATAAAAAAAAAGATTAAACTGCGTTTATGAAGTGCAATTATCCCATAATTAAATCATATTTCTTTGAAATGTTTCAAGAAAATAAATATTAAAATAAAACACATAGTGAACTATTTATTGAATACAAGATGGACACATTATAGTGTTAATTCACTTATATTTATATTATGCAAATAATAATAGCTTCTAAGCCATGGTTTTATCTGAACCATTTTTTTTCTCTTGATTTGGCTGCGTCAGCAACTTCATATGCAAATGCACATCACCAACGCTAATTATACAGATTTAAAACTTCTACTACGAAGGAAAAGAAGAATGCGCCTAATAGTAAATATTCACAAATGAGAGATTTGCATGAAATTCGACTGATTCTAACCACCACAGGCAGTTCTGCGCCATTCTATTCGGAGGCAATTAACGTTTAACAAAGCAGCTATTTCCATGTAGTGTGACGTTTGTCCACCAGGGTGCAGCATTAGAACAGTTTCTATTCACAATCAAGTCGTCCTAATGCCAAACTTTAAAATCTACAGATTTCGTTCTTCCTTACTGAGTATGAAACAAAACTCTGCTAAAGGAACAAGGTAATCTATGACACTAGCTTTGCAGCTTGGTTTGCTGCTTTATCTCACGAAAGCGAATATAGATTCTTTGATATACGAACTCCAATGACACCAGATCCTCGTTTTCAACCCAAACAAACAGGAGATTACTTGGAAAGTAAAATGTACAGCAGTGGTCTCAGTTTTTGGATGCCAGTGACAAGCATCGTGTTTCCGCCAGTAACGCCTGGTGGTTGCAGCGCAGCACTGTTTAAAGAGTCGTTCTGAAAACTGCCCTCACTTGGTCCCTGGAACAGGAAGCGCAGCTGCAGAAGCGCTCCAGTCGCTGGGAGTGGTGGACTCAATTCTTCACTCACTGGCTTTTGCTGATGAAGGCATTGAAAGGAGCAAGTCTGTACCGGGACAAGTTTAAGACACTTTGAAGGATTTTAAACTTTGATTTCCCTTCCTCCCCCCAAAATAACACATTCTGTCAGCTGTTCACCTGTGGAGGATGGAAAAGTGACGGTGAGTAGAAATCAGTATGCTGAGTTTTGGCTGTGGAATCAATTCAAAAGTTGTGTAATAATTTATTTAACTTGTTTATATAAGTGAATTTACATAAGTGTTTCTACCTATCTATCTATCTATCTATCTATCTATCTATCTATCTATCTATCTATCTATCTATCTATCTATCTATCTATCTATCTATCTATCTATCTATCTATCTATCTATCTATCTATCTATCTATCTATCTATCTATCTATGCTTCTAATATATAGTAATTTGTTAAGATGTTTTTCTATCTCATCTATGGTGCTTGTACATTTGTATGCAGCTTTTTAATCTTCTTTATTACTGTTATTATTATTGCCCCGATGTGTTCTCTGTTTGCCATAGCACATAATATTACTCCATAGTATGAGAGTGTTGAAAAAAAAGATGTGATGTTTTGACAAAGGTTTAAGCCCAAACTGCTAAATTCTCCCCTCACTACATTATGGAATGTAATGGGGCATGGCAGCAATTACTAGCCCACACTCCATCTTAGATGACTTCCTGCTTGCCTGACTGTCAACAGTATTATTAGATTGCTGTCAATTAGAGATTAGACTGTCCTGTTTCTACACTGCGCAGAATGGGCAAACAGTGTATCTTAGCAGATTGTTCATAAAAATATAAAATGATTTTGGAGAAGTATTTGGTTGACCACCCATCAGCAGCTCTTATGCCAACGCCCTGACTGAAAGAGATGGCTTCTGGAGTCATCTTGGGCTAGCAGCAAGCCAGAACTACTTAAGGGCTTTGAGTCTGTTGCTCTCTTGAGACTCCACAAATATTGACTGTTTATCACTTTACATGCAAATATGTTAAAGTGGAAATCATCTTATTGTTTTATAATGAGTCACAGTTATTCTACAAGTTAGTTATTCTGGTTTTGATCTCCCACAAGTCACATTAAGCAATTATAATAAAACATTCATGCAAGCCTATAGTCTTTAGAGTTTGCTCTAAGAAATAACTGTTTGATAAATCTGAGGTGTTGAGCCAGCTGTCCATCTCTGTTCCCTATTCACTTGATCATAATGTCAGCTTTTGCATCTAAGTCAGTAAAAACTTAATCTGTTGTGGATATCTTGGGCAAAAGGAGCCTAATATCTGGCCTAATATTTTAATGTACACCTAAACTCTGGAACAAAGAATATATTGTGAATCTCTAGAAAATGTTTGCACATCATTATGGGTCTATCCTACAAGTACATACCTTTCCACTGTGCACAGATCTAAAATATGCTGTACTGTATACTCTAATGTTGGCTCCTGTCTCACACTTTTTTAAAAGCACAGATCTAATTTGTCTACAACCAGTTATAAACTATCTTTTACCGCACTGAAACCACAATAAAGCACCCTGAGGTGAAAAAACCCCCCAACAAAACACAATAACCTAAGTTTACAATGATTGATCTGCATTAAATATTTAAGCTAATTTTCTGCCTCCATTTAACCTCCTGACTTGAGGTCAGGGTCCATCATCACTAAAGCACATCAGGATGCTGTTAAATTTATGACGCATAACAAACATCGCAGTGATTTAGTCTCTGTTCTGTTCCAATGGTGAGTAGGTGAGAACAGATGTGTTTTTGTCAGGTTCGTGGGCACAAGGTCATAATGCAGACAGGTTGGAGATAAAGTGAAGTGGACCTATTTGAGGCTTCAAAGTGCCAGTTTATATCTCAAGCAGTGGATAATGAGTTGTTAACAGACAGACAGAATTATGCATGCCTTCTTTGATCTTGAATACTGTATATTAACTTTATAGGAATGACTGTTTGAATTTGGAACGTGTGTGCTGTTCCTTCTGCATTTTAATTTGTTTTCCTTGGTAATTATATAGAAATAAACCCAAATGTCTCATCTCTCATGTTTTTATGTATAGTTATAGTGTCTTAGCACATTATTCCTCCTGAAGGGGTGGATTAAAGGGCATAATTTCAGGCCTTGACAAACAAAACACTTCAAAAGTATGAAACAGAAACAAGTCATATTCAGCCTTTCCATTGTTCTGAAACAGACAAGTAATTTTCAAACACACTTTTTTCACACATAATCACCTAAGGAAGCACACCCCCCCAAAAAAAGACATGCAATGTTGTTTACAAATAATGATGCCACCTTTGTTATCATAGTCTGTAAACATGTTGCTGTTTAAAAGGTAAAGGTAATTTTATTTATGTGGCACATTTTCAGCAACAAGGCAATACAAAGTGCTTTACAGAAATTAAAAGGAAGAACAAACAAAATAGCAAACCAAAGGAAATATCCTCTGAACTAATTCCTTTTCTGGTGTGGAAGAGTAGAAGTCTAAAAAGTAATTGCTAATGCGATAAATAGGAAGTGGATCATTTTCTTTATTTTCTGCTTTTCAGCAAAAATATTACTTGTTCAGATTTTCATCATGTTTCACTTGCAAAGATTTGATTTTACTTTACAAGTACATCCCAATTCATGTTGTAAAATAACCTCAAATCTAAGGTATGTAGAATTGTAGAAGTCTAATATGTGACATAAAATTATCTCATATTGGTGAGGAAGATGATGCTGCACATGTTTTAAAATGAAAATTATTGAAAATCAAATTTGAATCCATTCTAAAATCATCATGTCTAAATATAAAAAAATATTAATGTAAGCGTAGGTAACTTGCTCATACATAGCAAAATATATGTATATAATATAGCGTAAAAATATGAGTATAAGCATTGAGTGAACGACTACTCTATGGTGGGTTTTGTACTGTTCAGTGCTAGAAATGTTAATGCTAGAAAACTGATAAGCCCTTTACATATCATGAATCCCACAAATACAAAACGTTTTGTGTGTGACATCTGACTAATTTCAGCGGCTCCACAATTGGTCAAGGTTTTAAACTGATGTATACTTAATAGTTACTATCCCCTCCTGTACTTTTGTAATGAAGTAGGAAGTTATCTACCATGTTTACACATTCAAACTTTAATTGAACATGTGCTGATGTTCAAACACTGGTTTGTGAAGACGTGCTGTACTAATTGATAATAGTTGATTAATTTATACATGTGGAACAGATGCTTGGTCGTGATGATGGTGCTGCAGATCAGACAAAAACTCTTTGGGTCGAGGATCTGCAGTAAAAGATGTGATGCATTCATATTTAATACTGCATAACTCTTCCTAACACATCCTACCAGTCAGGCCTATTTGTAGGATGGATCTTTTCCCCTCTTTGCTCTTTGTCAGACAGAGGCCTAAAAAAAAAAAAGTCTCATTCCAATTTGAGTGATGGTGGTGGGGAACAGGAGTTTCACCTGGAATTGATCATTGTCATGTCAAATTTTAATTTTACTACCAGATGAGAAGATAATTAGATCTAATTTTATCACAGATGGAAGAAATTTCTGTGCATTGCAGTAATTTCCAGCCTCATAATAGTAATTATGACATGGTGGGTGGATAAATACAGTTGTTCTGTGAAGGCCTGAAAGATTTGTTAGAGAATAAAAGTGACCAAACCAGACAGCTCAAATCATAGAGCATCGCATTGAGTATTGATTGATCTATCATCTAAAAATTGAACAAGTATGCAACACATGTATCTGAATTCAGATACATGGTGCAGGATGACCATGTATCTGAATTCACGCTGTGAGAATCTTTCTCAGATTTGCAAGTTTAAGTTGATGAAAAGATGAACAAAGCTAAATACCACCAACTGTGGAAAAAAGCTTCTTAAATGTTGCACTTGAAAGACGAGAACCCTAAACGTTTTCCCACAAGTACAATGGAGTTGTTGGATTAAAAAGTGCAAATGCATGCCACACCTTTCAAATTATTTTATAAATAAAATACTTAATTTTACTTTCAAAACCATGTGCTGCAGGACAGTCACAAAAAACTCCTAAACAATATATTTTTAGAACATAAATAATTTATGTTTGTGATTATGGCAACATGAAAAATTTAAAACATGTGAATGCTTTTGTGAGGTATTTGTGTAAAATAAAGATAAAAAGGTGACATAGCTAATAAATCTGCGATTCTGTATTTTACTCATCAGACTTTTCCCATATCAGAGGCCAGCTGTTCTTGAAGGTGCAGGATGAAAAGATGGCAGAACTCCTTGTGCCAGCAGGTCCTGACAACTTTCGCCCCTTCACCCGCGAGTCACTCAAAGTTATCAAGAAACGAATCGCTGAGAAAAAAGCGAAGAAGTCCAACGATGAAGAGAAAACACACAAGAATGAGGATGAGCTCAAACCAAGCCGTGATCTGGAGGCAGGCAAGCCTCTCCCACTTTTGTATGACATTCCTGCAGGCCTGGTGTCAAAAGCGCTGGAAGACCTGGATCCCTACTACTCAAAACAAAAAGTAGGTTTGGTTAACTTTGACTTAAGATCGAGAGAAAAAATATATAAACTTTTCTTTAAGCTTTGTTTTCAAAGAATGCACTATATTTTATCTTTAAATGAATAAATGTCTTTCTTGATAATGACTTTGAACAATATATATTTAGTCGTGGCTTTTTACTGCAAAACAGTAAAACGCAACAAAGAAAGTGATATGCTTCAGGAGAAAAATACACATTTAGATTGTTAAGATGTTCCTAGATGGGCGTAGACAGTTAAGTAAAAGCACAATTTTGACATATTTTTAACATATTTTAAGTAAGAGTAAAACATTGCCATGATGAATTTAATCAAAACAATGTCTTCATACACACAAAAATATCAAGTTCGGTGCAAATTCTGACACTTTAGAGACACAAATTTAAGTAACGGTTTTAAAGTAGCCAATTCTGGAAAAATAAACACTTTACAAAATATTTTCTCGTTGAATATAAAACTTAGTAAAGCCATATTTACAGTATGTAATGTGTATATGTTAGAATGTGATGAAGTGTTTGCAGTGACAGCAAAAAAAAAGTATATATTTATTGACTCTTTATTTGACCTCCAAATGGCACAAATGGCTAAGCAGATAAAATTAGAATGAAAAACTGTCTCACTTTAACATAAATTGCATGTATATCTGTGTTTAATGCAATTTTTATTAAAACAAGCTTGTTCTTGACTCAAGCTTGGGTAATTACTATGCGTAATTCCACTGAGTGAAGTAGATTATCCAGAAATTTTAGTGATGATAATTCTCAACGATATTGCTCAAGAAAAAAATTAAAAGTGCAGTCCTGTAAAACTCTTCCTAAAGGTATTTTCTCCCCATAAATAATTACTCAATTAAATTTCAAAAAGGTAGTAGGGGTTTTCAAGTCTGTTATATCATGACATACAATTCTCTTTTGTCTCTTTTGTGTTTTACAGACTTTTATAGTAGTAAACAACAAGAAGCTCATTTACCGATTCAACGCTGCTCCTGCCTTGTACCTCCTGTCTCCCTTCAATCCCATTAGAAAGCTGTCATTCAAAATCCTGGTGCATTCATATCCTTTCAGTAATGCATGAAACATGCTGTGAATAATAAAGCCCATAACCTAATTTCCAAAGAGCGTAAGATTAGAGATATGTTTTCTTTGTTATAAAAATGAGCCAAAAGGCATTTTTTCTGTTTTGCTGTATGTAGAAATCTTGTTTTATTTTCTTAATTTTTGTTTGGACGATTTTTCTGAAGCCCTAGCACATTTCACAAACACATAACACCAACTATAACCAAGCAGCAGCAAAAAGCATATTGTTTTCATCAGATAATGTTTCTAGCAACAACAGAAGGGACAAATATACTCACAACACAACAAGCTGACTATCCACCTGTCCTTCTATTGGAGTGTAAACTGCTTAGCACTGCAGCACAGTGAGTTGAAACAGGAATTTAGAAAAGTAACAGTTTAAGTATCACATGAGTTACTGTTTTTAATGTCAAATTACTATTTATGCTTTGTACTATGATTATAACCATTTACATAGGTACCTGTTTAGGTAGTTCACTTGATAATTTTTAATATTTGCAATTTGAAGTATGTTTCTTTAAAATTGGCTGTTAATAGCTATCCTAAATGAAACTCTTACCTATTGCGAATCTTAAGATAAATCCTAAAGTGTTATATCAGACGACCCCTTGACTCAGAGACTGTATTGGCTGCCTAACTCAACCTTTGCACACGTTGCCTAAAATCCACATCTGATTGGTTGATTTGGTCTCTGTAATGACTTCTCAAAACTTCAGAGAAAGTACAGAACACATTCATAAAAGTTAATCAGCTATACTACTTTCAATATTTATTTCATATTCATAAACATTGTGTTATAGTGCATGAAAAGAATAAAATATCAGCGTATCTATAATGCTTCTTTGGGGCATCTATTGAGCTTTCAAAGCAAAATATTCAAAGTTAAATCTTTGGTCGAGAAATGGAGTACATGTAATATTAAGAAAACATGCTACTTCTAAAACTGCTACGTGCTTTCTTAACATCTGCCTGTAAGATGTTCAACATGCTAATCATGTGTACTATCCTCATCAACTGTGGATTCATGACTCTCAACAATCAACCTGATTGGGCAAAGCCAGTAGAGTGAGTTTTTGATTCACTCATCAAATCATTCATATGTGGTTGTGGATGTTTCCAGTTGAAATGATGTACCAATGAACGCATCCTCTTTCCAACAGGTACACATTTACTGCAATCTACTCCTTTGAATTCATTGTTAAGGTTTTAGCAAGAGGGTTCTGCATAGGGAAGTTCACCTTCTTAAGAGACCCTTGGAACTGGCTGGACTTCTGTGTCATTGTTCTGGCGTAAGTAAAACATTTCAGGAAATTCAAGTAACCTAAAAGGACAGTTGTTGTATTTGTTTTACCAAGATCTTTGTTTGAAAAGAGAATTTTTGTATTTTCAATAAAACTCAGATTTTTTCTATCAATATTTTTTTGTGATTGATCCATTCTGACTCAGTTAGAATCTATGTAGAAGTTAATAAGATGGTGCTTACAATTGTCTTACAGGTAACATATTGCAGAAAGATTTTACAGTATACTAGCTTCTCACCTTGTCAATGTTTGCTTCCCTTAATGCTAATGTGGTTTTTTGATCAAGTAGAAAAACAATTACTAACTTCAAATAAAAAATACTCTTTTTCAGGTATGTAACTGAGTTTGCCGACATCGGAAATCTTTCAGTTCTTCGTACATTCAGGGTGCTCAGAACATTAAAAGCGATTTCAGTAATACCAGGTAAGCAGCAGGAAAAAGTGATTGGCAGCCATTCTGCCAATCCCTTTTAATGCAAATAAATTTGCAATAATGTTAAAATAAACTGAAAGCAGACAATATCAGATTGTGTAAGTAGACACAATATACAGATAATACACTATAGATTATATTGAGAATTCCAATATTATTTTTCTGTTTTGTTTTGCAGGTCTAAAGACAATTGTTGGTGCATTATTCCAGTCAGTGAAGAAGCTTGCTGATGTTATGATCCTGACCGTTTTCTGCTTAAGTGTCTTTGCACTTGTAGGATTACAGCTGTTTATGGGAAATCTGAGGAACAAGTGCATAATAATACCAGAAGATAAAACTTTAACAACCAATGAGAGCTACTTAAATGACCCAAGTGAGTTTTCTATTTTCTATTTCTGTTGTTCTTTAAAAACAAAACCATTTTCACAAAGACCTTGTGAAAAGCACTTGAATAGAGGACAAATACTTTATGTAAAGCGTTTTGGAAAGTTCTGATAGAGCACAATTAAAGTATGATATTATTTCATTTCATATTGTCAACCATCCCTAACCTTTAACCTGTCACTACTTTTCATTTCAGAAAATCATTATTTCCTTCCAGGGAAACGAGATGCATTGCTGTGTGGAAACAGCAGCTCTGCTGGGTAAGTCAGACTCCAACGAACAGAATACTGACTTTTTTATAAAAAAATGCTACCCTGGTGTATTATTACTATGACTGTGATGATACAATGGAAAATTATTAGTTGGTGAATCTTTTTTTGTGTTTCACACACTCCTTCTTTATTACAGGCAGTGTCCAGAGGGGTATATGTGTTTGAAAGCTGGAGGAAACCCAGACTATGGTTACACAAGTTTTGATAACTTTGGTTGGGCCTTCCTTTCTCTGTTCAGACTGATGACACAGGATTACTGGGAATATCTTTATCAGCAGGTAACTTATGCAAAAACTAAAAGAACATAAAATCCAACTCAGTTTTTCTCTATGCTGGCCTTATGGTGAAGAGTCTTCACAGAACGTAGTTATTTGAGGGTTTTTAAAAAATATAATTAAAAAATTATTTATGATTGTCTTGTGCAGTTTTCATTCTTTTCAGATTTAATTTTTTTTATTGTAAATTTGTCAACATAATATGTATTATGTTTTTCTTTTTTCTTTTGCCAAGTTTTCTGTGGTTTTTTATTAGATTTTTTGCTTGCTTTGTTTTTCCTTTTTAGGATTAACCAAGATTTAAAATAGTATTATGTCAACTCAAACTTTAAAGGTAGCACAGATGCACCTTAGATTGTGATAAACGGGAGTTGTTCAGGCAAACAGACCTTGAAAGGTTTTTGAGAACAATAACTGGAGACCAAATTGATGAGCTTCATATTAACAACGGGGAAAGCAAATATCTCATATGTTAAAGGCATTTTGAATGGAGGTAGTAACATTACCTGTGGCAACAATTTCCAGTGGGGTTTTTATTTACATCAATCAAATTGTTTAAAAATGTTGCCATCCAAAATATCAGCTTTTAATGTGAAATTGAAGGAAAACAACAACAACAAAAAAATACAATGTTCTATAAAAAAAAAACTGGTATCATTGTTAATCTTCTCAAATGGTTATGTTATCTCCATTTTCAGAGTCAAGGGGGTAATATTCTGATTTGAGACTGGTGTATGACTCTGCTTAAAGAAGGTCAATTAAATTTGATCATTTCAACTTACTGGAACTACTCTGGCAAATTGTAAAATTCTGTTTTACTAAATGTCATTGACAGAGCCTCTTATGACTTATGTATTTGTTTTCTGTTTCTGAGTTTAGAATTGTCTTTTCAGTACTAATTGAAAAATGTACCTAAATTAAATGGAAAATGTGAAATAATAAATAGATTATTTGCAAAATTCTTAATGTATTTGCTTTGAGGTATTTGTATCAAAGGTAAATAAACTTTTCTTTCATATTTACAGACATTGCGAGCAGCTGGGAAACCCTACATGATCTTTTTCGTTCTGGTTATATTCCTTGGTTCCTTCTACTTGATCAACTTAATTTTGGCTGTAGTTGCTATGGCCTATGAGGAGCAGTGCCAGGTCAACCTAAAGAAAGCTCAGGAGAAGGAGTATGAATATAATATTGCCATTGAGCAGCTAAAACGTCAACAAGAGGATGTTCAGGTACACTAAATGGATGTTCCTTCTCTTATAAAATTGTTTAAAATTTTTTTTTTTTAAATTGTTCATTCTGAAGTTGACATGTTGTTATTGACATGAGTGCAATCACATTAGAGGTTCTTCTTGTTGTCTATTCAATGGGTTTTAGTGATCCAAGTGGTGCCAGAGGTGGATTCATTACATTAATGTAATAAAAGAACTGTTTTCCAATAGTTCAACTTCACCTTAAACAACATCTAGACAGAAAAATAATAGTAGTCTTTAACAGTGGTTGAAGTTGTTTGTTATATATTCATTCTAAATTGTAAACAGGTTTTAAAATACATCAGAAAATTGGAAAATAAAACAACATTCATGCAAGTGATGAGTTTATGTAATTTGCTATCTAAGATTGCATTTGTCAATGCACTCCTTGCTTTCTAATCTTTTTGTGATCTTTACAATATCAATGTCTCTTGGTTTGGTATTAGATGTATTAGTGCATTTCATTTTCCTTGTTGAAGATATTATCCTTATAGTACATTTTCATTGCGCACTTTAATCATTGTTCAACTTGAATCACATCTTTCAATGTAAACCAGCCATGTTGACACAACTAATGCAATTTTTATCATCTGTTTATTTCACCATGCTGCCTATTCTCATCAAGGCAATGGTAAAAGCAGCTACAGCAAGGAATGGAGATGCTTTGGAGAAAGGTGGTGGAACAGAGAGTTCCTCAGAAGTATCTAAGCTGAGCTCAAAAAGTGCCAAAGAGCGTCGCAACAGGAAAAAAAAGAGAAAAGAGGAGGAAAAAGGAGCCAGGAAGATATCTCATTCAGATTCACTGGACAGCTTACCAGCAAACCGTTTCCGCTTATCTGTGGATGAATATCCGCTCAACTATGACATGAAATGTTCATCTACACACCAGGTGCAGTACCATGCATCATTAGTTGAAGAGTTCAGCTAATGTCTTACATTTTAAAGTCAGCATTTTATGCTTTTCAGCCTTTTGTCTTTGAATCACTGGATTTGTCACTGTTTTTAAATCACCAGAAGTATTTGTCAACTATTCAGGCGAGGTGAAACTTTTGTAGGGGTATATATTTTTTAAAGCTTTATGCCGGTGTTTTTTATGGTATAATAAATAGTGTTGCCATTTATGCCTGTTTTGCAAATAATATAATTTATCAAACACCAGCTGTCAAATTTACATCTAAAATATGAAATATAAATAATAAATCAAAACATCTGTTTGGAATAATTTTTAATAGAAATATAAATGTATTTATTTTAAAAAATCTGTCAATAAAATCACTACAGTAAAAGAAAGAAGATAGGTCAGTTAACCATTTACATTAAAATCTTTAAATGGCAACATTTTTTTCAACTGTTAGACATCAGAATTTTCTTTTTCTCACTAAAATCAAAACAGATTTTGGAATTTCTTGGATATCTTGATAATCATCATCATCATCATCATCAACATCACCATCATCATCGATGTTCTTACTGTCGTCATCATCTTCATTGTCATTCTTATCACCTTCATTTTGTTCTTCTTCCTCATCTCATTTTCTTGTCATTATCCATCATATTTCACATGACTTGAGATTTTCATCTTAAACTTCTTATTACTCTGATCATTGATCTCTTCATCATCAGCACAACTCACATTGTTACCAATTACCATTATATAGATTTTATGTTTTTTTTTTTTTTGTTTGTTTGTTGTTGTTTTTTTTGTCCATTGTCCATTCCATTGTCCATCAAGAAATATGGTATTGTGTAGCGCTAAACTTTACTGTCTTGGAAGTTTTTCTTCTACACATCAACATTTATTATCGATCCATTGGAGAATATCTTTTTCTCCTAGTCCTTTCTAAGTTTTCGTGGACCACTGATCTCATCCAGAAGAAACAGCAAAATCAGCCTTTTCAGTCTCCAAAGCCAAACACAAGATGTCTCTTCAGAAAATGAGTTTGCAGATGACGAGAACAGCATTTTTGAAGGCAAACTGAGTTGGAGGGCATCCCCATTGAATGCCTCAAGATGCGATAGACACAACAGCAGTGTGAGCCAGTGCAGCTTCTTACCACATCTCCAGTTTCAACCCTTTGGGATCAGGCACAGCTCCATAGACTGCAATGGGGCTGTTTCCCTGTTGGACGGGAATTCATTTCCAACATCACTACCTACAGGGCTTCTTCTTTCTAATCCGAGAATAGATTCGGCCTCCTCCGGAAACAATGTAAGAAATATCTTGATAGCCTAGATTACCTCATTTGATTTGCTTACGACATCACCTGTTATGTTTTTTTTTTTTTTACATTTCATTGTCTTGCCTGCGCCTGCAATGCTTTACTATTGACCATCTCTCAAATCAGGTTCTTTTTTTTTTTTTTTTTACATTATTGCCATGTTCCATGGACAAATTTGTATGCAGATTACCAGCTTCTATAGTTTACATAGATAAATGTTAACACTTGCAGCAGATATAGCAGGCTCACCAAATTACTTTTGCTCTGCCGTAAATAATTTTGACTCTTATTACTGTCTGTAAATCATTTGGGATTTCTATTTGAAAGGTGAAAAATATACAATGATTATACTAACTGCTGCTGAAATAATGTTAGATATTGATAACTGATGTCCTAACAATGCTACTTGAGTGTTTTTTTAGTGCAAAGATGTATATATATATATAAAAAAAACACCATTGCATGTTAGAATACATTCTCAATTTATTAGCAGTTTCACATTAACGTCTTTTGCACAGGTTCATTGCAGGTTAATTAGTTGCTAAATAGTCAGCTTCATGACAAATCAAATTTTGCCTATTTATCAAACCTTATCATTTTTAAGTATGATTCTAAAACTGAACTATTCATTTCGTCTTACCAGAAAACTGGTAAGACAAAAACTGGAAAATCCTCACTAAAAGCTTTAGTATTAAATGAGCTATACAGATAAATAAGATGCTCAAGCTAACTCTATTTTTTATTCTCACTACCTACTATCTTCATCACTGTGGCATTAATAATCGTTTCTATGTGAAGGCTGACACCACAGACACTGAAGGCAAACCGGCCAGTGGGGAAAACTACCGCAACAGTTTGGAGTTACCTGAGATGAGACAGAGAGCATTAAGTATAGCTAGTGTCATCACAACCACCATGGAAGGTATGTAATGTAACCCTAATGTAATGTATATACAATGTTTTAAATATATTCTGTCCCTTGAACCTTTGACATTTTATGATATAATAGCCACAAACTTATTATAATGGAGTTATAATATGTTTGTGTTTTAAGGTTGTGTACTTCATGGACCAACAAGCTATTTTAGATATTTGTTAAAACTGTCATTATGTCCTCACAGTTTAATATGAGACAGATAACCTGTGAAAAATCAAGCTTCTCTGCTTCTGCCCTGTGGTTCTACTGGTCGCACACTGGTCCCAGTCAGAAATAATCAATAAGCTCCATCCCTACAGTGGCTCTAACTGTGAACACACAGGGTAGTAAGCATGGCTACAGATAATGGCTGATAAACAGTTTTCCTGTAATGGTAATTTGATAATCTGCCACAGATGCAGAAATCGACTAAATTAAGCTTGTACATGCCGTGCAAGGGAGGGTGCAAGAAGCACATACATGATTGACAGCACTTTGACCATCTGCTTGGCTCTGATTGGATGTTTATACAGATGACAGCAAAACCAAAGAGAGGAGGCAGATGAACTTTATTCCTTTTTGAGAATATTTGTCTCATACTATCAATACATAATGAGTTTTAACAAATATGTAAGAAGAAAAGCATTTATTTATTTTTTTAAGTTATCTACTGCAGCTTTAAAGACCATATTAAAACATTATTGTTTATTTTGGGTTAAAAGAAATAAATTATCAATTCAACTAAAATATTTTGTGATGTTTTGACAATAGAACTTGAAGAATCAAGACAGAAGTGTCCTCCTTACTGGTACAAATTTGCCGACAAATTCCTCATCTGGGAGTGTTGTCCAGTATGGATGAAAATCAAAGAAATAGTCAAAATAATTGTGATGGACCCATTCACAGACCTAGCCATTACCATGTGCATTGTACTCAACACAATTTTCATGGCCATGGAGTTTTATCCAATGGATAAGTGGTTCACTGATATGCTGTATGTAGGAAACCTGGTAAGTCAGCTTTGAGACTTCTGAAGATAAATCTTTCACATATTTTCTGTGCTTTGAAAATCCTGTTTTATTCTTCTTCCTTGTAATCGCTCTTTGGAAGGTGTTCACGGCCATCTTTACAGCAGAAATGGTCCTCAAGGTCATTGCACTGGACCCCTACCACTACTTTCAAGTGGGATGGAACATTTTTGATGGAGTCATAGTTTGCTTAAGCTTGATAGAGCTCTCTCTGGCTGATGTAAAAGGCATGTCCATTCTGAGGTCATTTAGATTGGTAAGTATCTGTTAGTTGCTCCTTTATGGAATTGTTTTGGTTAATGCTGAAATCATAAGACTTGACTCTTCTCACCACATACAAACCTTCAAAAGCTACTCGTAGAGTTTGTTTGCTGTGATGTCAAAGAAGCGTGACCCATTGACAATTGAAAAAGAGCTCAACAGTTTTCAGCATGACATGTTCTTTAAAATGTAAATACAAAGAGGAAGAGGCTATATTTTGTTTTTAATTTGATTCTCATTTCGCAATGTTTAATTTTTGTTTGAGAAATGCCTGTGGGATTTTCTTGTTGGTTGTTTCCTTGATGAGAATCTTTTGGTGGGATGAAAATTATTTTAAACTTACACGAGGAATGAATACATCTGAGATGACCTTGTAATTTGAGGTGTATTGGTTCTAACCAAATGTTTGTCATTCAAATAGGTTTGCACAAAAGTGTGTTTCTAAAGTTTTTTTCTTCTTTTTTTTCTTCTCTTCTAACAGCTGAGAGTGTTCAAGTTGGCCAAGTCCTGGCCCACTCTTAATAAGCTCATCAAAATAATTGGTAATTCAGTGGGAGCCTTGGGCAACCTGACCCTGGTGCTAGCCATCATTGTTTTTATCTTTGCTGTTGTCGGCATGCAGCTGTTTGGAAAATACTATAAGGATTGTGTGTGTAAAATCTCTGAAGACTGCACTCTTCCTCGGTGGCACATGAATGACTTCTTCCATTCATTCCTCATTGTATTCCGAGTGCTTTGTGGAGAATGGATAGAGACCATGTGGGACTGTATGGAGGTGGCTGGAAAAACCCCATGTCTCATTCTCTACATGACGGTCATGGTCATTGGAAATCTTGTGGTACATTGCATCTTTTATGTTCATTTCATTCCACATCATTCAAATGTTTTCAATCTCTAATGAATAATTTAACTGAATGCAGTTTCACAGCATTAAATGTTTGTTTTTTTTCCTTCATTATCTGAGAGCAACATACTCAAGATCAATCCTGGTTAAAGCAATGTTATTCTCTTCCAGGTGCTGAACTTGTTCCTGGCCCTGCTGCTGAGTTCATTCAGTGCAGACAATCTGATGTCAGGAGAGGATGACAATGAGCTCAACAACTTGCAGATTGCATTTGATCGCATACACAGGGCCATTGCCTTCATTAAAATGAAGTTTCGAAGTTGTTCCAACAGTTTCTGCATCAAAGATAAAAAAACAAGTGAGGACAAAACATTTGGACATAATGGTGTCCCCAATCATACCATTAAAGACTTAACTAAGAACAGCAATGGTGAAGTGACCGGAGTGGACAAAAGTGGAAACAAGTACATAGTCAACAGCAAGAGTGACGATTCCATCATGTCTTTCATAAATAACCCAAGTCTGACTGTGACTGTTCCCATTGCTGCGGAAGAGTCAGACTTTGAAATGCTTAACACTGAGGACTTCAGCAGTTTTTCATCCAACATACAGGAACGTGAAATGGTAGGAATTATGTTTTGCCTTATTCTTAAAATTATCTTTAATAAAAATGGGTTCCTGCTTTAAAAAATAGTGTGATCCACTGACTTAGTATTTTTGAAAGATGTATTACTTAGAATTCCTTTATACTGGGGAAATCTGCTCCCAGGTAATGCCATGTAAAATATTTGCCTTCTACAGTCAAAAAGTCATGCTAGTGTCATAATGTTTCCCCTAGGAATAAGACCACCAATATTGGTCAAGACAAGAAAATCTTAGTGCTCAGCTTCATTTATTTGCTAGTGCTGTGGAGCTGAATTTTCCTCTAAAAATCTGATTGCTGATCAGTAATAGGGATTACGGGATGAAAAGAGACAGAAACAGCAATTGCTGTAATAATTGTAACATCTCATTGGGATTTTAAAGAAATTCATTTACTCACTAGATTTATTAGTCTATGATAGACCCTGCTCTGAGAAAGATCCTTGTTGACAGGATTAGGATTCGGATTTTTCACACCCTTAGCAAATTTAGGTGTGAATTTGCTAATTCACACCTAATTTTGAAAAATTTCTTTCTCAAAATTTCTCAAACTGAGAAACTTATTTCTGATCTGCAATAACATCTTCCAATGCTATTAAAACAATGTTTAAAGAGGATTGATCTTAATAACTTTTTTTTTCTTCCGATCATACTTTTCTAAGTAATCAATAGAAAGACCTCAATAACAGATCACTCAAACACTTAACTACATTCAAGTTAAGTGTCTGGCTCATGTCACTCCAAAACTTTAGCTTTACTTCTCTAAAAAAAAAAAAAATTATTTGTAAAATTAATTCTTAAATTACTGATAAAAAAAGTGCCTTAATTCATACATGAGTCGCCATTTTTTCATGTGTCTGGCACATTACCCAAACTGATTATTAAATCTGGTTTAATGGGATTTTACAAATCACTCCTTAAACTTATATTTGCTGATGTTAGCTACAAACTACCAGATAATAATTTAAAACAAAACCTACAGTCACTCTAATGTAGTAATGCTAATATTCTTAAAACAACAGAATAGAAATACACTTTCAAATTTAAGCTAAAACTTCCATGCAGATTTCAGTACTAAAAAATGAAAGATGAGCTAACTTAGAAACTCCAAATACTGCAAAAACAAATCATTTGACTATGACAATTGATTTTGCTCCAGCATAGTATCAGGTTTCTCTCACATAAACAGAATGAAAGGACAGAGAAATGAACCATTATTACATTAACATTAGTATATCCACAATATTGCAATAACATACTTACATCACTGCCAGCACTTCACTAGCTGGTCCCATGGTAGTCTGCACTCTGCAGGAAGACATTCTAGCTCATGCTTTTAGAAGACACACCCTGCAGAAGCCCTTACAACAATAAACTAAATAACAAACCAAAATGCTTCACCAAAAACAGCAAAAAAATAGCGACAAATACCTCTAAAATTCTAAGGAAGATGTTTATGCTTTTTTGAGTTTTTTAAATAAATAGAAACCATGCAAATTATCTGCATGTACACCCAGTCTGCTTTATTTGGTACACCTGTCCAGTTGCTGACTAGCTCAAATAGCTAATTAGACAGTGACATTGCAGCAACTCACTACATTTAGGGATCTGTACATGGTGAAGAGGACTTGCTGAAGACCGGAGCTCATGTAACTCACTTGTTACTGCTCGAGGTGCACAATATATGGAATTCCAGTTCTCATCCCAATAACACTAATATCAGCATGTTCAATATTTCCATTGCAAAGAACAGTTTCAGTGCAATAGTTGGTAAAAGTGCATCATATTCAGATTCTGCTTGTAAGTAAGACATTTGGCCAGTAGATGGACTCGCTCTGCTCTGAATTCAAAACCAATACAGATTTATTGAATCTTATGAAAAGTGGTAGAACTATCTTGATTTAAAAATAAAAGAATAATACGAGTGAGGAAAATGGATTAATCATACTCAACGTGGATCAAAAATTTGCATTATAAATCTGGCCCAAAACCTTTTTTTTCTATTTAAGACACAATCTTGATTGCATCCACAGGATGACAATGGTGATGACAATGATGGACAAAGCAGTGCCTCTGAGGGAAGTACAGTGGATGATGGTTTGTCAAATGGAGAGCCTGCTGAGCTTGTACTTGATGTAAAAGTATTTAAGGATCCGCATGATTGCTTTACTGCTGGTAAATTTTCCAACTTCTTCATATAACAGTCATCTTATGCTTCTAATCACACAGTAGGCAAATAATACACGTTTTTCTTTTCAGAATGCACCCAGAAATTTAAATGTTGCCAAGTAAATGTGAATGTGGGTTGGTGGAAAGTGTGGTGGACTCTAAGAAAAACCTGTTATCGGATAGTGGAGCACAACTGGTTTGAGAGCTTCATCATATTTATGATTTTGCTCAGCAGTGGCGCACTTGTAAGTCTCAGAGATTTTCTTTCTATGTAAAGTAAAGCTTATTTCAATGCTTTCTTGACATTTGACTACAATATATAATCACCAGTAGTGTGATGACCCACTATGCTTTCTCATTAGGCTTTTGAAGATATATACTCTGAGCAGAGGAAGAGAATTAAAGTGATCTTGGAATTTGCAGACAAAATTTTTACCTTTATCTTCATACTGGAGATGCTTCTGAAATGGATGGCATATGGATTTGCCAAGTATTTCACAAATGCATGGTGCTGGTTGGACTTCCTCATTGTTGACGTGAGTTGAAACATTATCTTATGCAGAAACAAAGAAAAATATTTGTTCAGTCGTCAGTTACAATGAGGTAACTCTAATTGATGTAGAAGCAATTACATTGAAAAACATTTAAACAATGAATTTCTATATTTTGATAATCGTGTGTTTTACTATACATTCTCAGTCTTTGTTTACAGTGTCTGTGTGTGTTTTTTCCAGGTCTCTCTGGTCAGTCTAGTGGCTAATGCTTTAGAATACTCAGAGCTTGGGCCAATCAAATCTCTGAGAACGCTGAGAGCTCTGCGGCCCCTAAGAGCTCTGTCACGGTTTGAGGGCATGAGGGTAAGTGCAGTCACAAACTCTTTTGCAAAACTGTAAGCAAAACTATAATGCTGACAATGAGCTCAAGATTTTCATTTAAGCTTAAAGTACAGTTCTTCTAAAAACCTAACCTTTAGCATATTGCTACTGGTAATTTTTTGTTGTTGTTTTTGGCTACCTATGTGAGGTACTAATTACATTTCTGATCCAGAACCATAAAAAAAAACACTTTTGAAGTTTACCAGGCTTTTGTAATCTATGATGGAAAATTAGTCTTATATAAGAGAACAGATAATTGGGTTCACATTTATAGCCTTTGTTTACTTACAGAATTGGCTAGCCAAAACAAAACTTGTGTTGCTCTGCTTAACAGCCCACCCGCATGCTCTCCAAACACATGCGCACACTTTATTTAAAATCTTCTCAGTTGTGGCATGCAGTCAACGTATTCCTATTTTTACCTCTTTCTTTCCAGCCATTTTCTCCCACTGCAACTGGTTTATATTTTCAGTTTGTTATTGAAGGACTACCATTGTTAAAAAAATAGCCTTTGGACTACACTTTGGACCTTCTGCACTTCCTTAGTGTAGTTCAGAAGGTCTGGGCCCTCGCTGTTGAGAAGGAGGTGTGGACTCTGTTGAGGTTTTGCCCAATTACTAATGTTTGCCCATGACGTATGTTCAAAGCTAAGAATCTTACTGGAACTTGCCTGCGCTGTAAGCAACCATCCTCCACTGCGAAGAGAGATGTGCCAATCCAAACCAGGCAACTATTAATGTTATTTCAATATTTGGAAGCGTGGCCAAGATTGACTGTATGACTTTGTTCACTTCCTCCATTGCCATTGCTAAAACTACAGGTAGAATACAATTCTAAAAAGGCACAGAAAATTTGCATCATTGTTTACAACTTCTCCTTCGCTGATTAGCCTGGTCAAAAATTGACCAGAAACAATCCAAGTCAATGGGAGAAATCTAAGATTGTGGTTGAAGTGAGAATTATTTTTGAGTGGAATTGCACAGGAAGGAAATGGCCAGGCTACCAAAGGATAGTGTCTCACTGCATCCATAACTTGCTTACTCTGAAGAAACTCAAGCAGAAGAATCAGTTCACAGAATGAGTTTTGGACCTCTCACTCAACATTGCAATTATTTAAGTCATTTTTTTATTTACTGACAGTCCAAACTGAGACTGGTAACTTATCAGAATCAGCTTTAATGACCAAAGAAGGTCATTAAACAAGGAATTTTACTTTGGTTTCACATACTCACTGCACACAGAAAATCAATGAAGCATGTACGTGTACTTCTTTTCATGCTGTTGTGGTATTGTATTTATAGTCTCTTTCCTCCCACAGTTGCCTGTGAAATCCTTTATTTGCATGCTTATCTTCTCACATGCATCTTTCTGCTTTTAATATTGCTTGCAGTGTTATCTAACATGATTTATTTATGTGTTATTTTATGTTTCTGTTTACAGTAATGAAACTTTTGGCATCCTTGGTCCTCTTCAAGAAGTTCTCTATCAATGCTTATTTAAAACTAAGTAACCACTGACTGTTTTTTTTTTGTTTGTTTTTTTTACACTTTAATATTTTTCCTGCCTTCTTTTCCTATTTTTCCCTGTTTTCCATCCACTTCCAATATATTGCCATGTTATGTCCTGCTGTTTGTTTACACATCAGGTCTCATCACTCTTGTGTGTTCCTTTTCATACCATTTCATGGAAATTTTTTGCATTATTTTTAAAAGATGTTCTGGCTACAGGTGGTAGATATATGTTACTTTTGTGGTGTTTTTTTGTTTTGTTGTTTTTTTGTAGGTGGTAGTCAATGCCCTGATGGGAGCCATTCCTTCCATCTTTAATGTTCTGCTGGTATGCCTCATTTTCTGGCTCATCTTCAGCATCATGGGAGTAAACCTATTTGCAGGGAAGTTCTATACCTGTGAAAATAAAACTTCAGAAAAGGCTTTCCTCCCGAAAGAGGTGAAAAACGAAACAGACTGTAAAGCTTTAGGGAATCAGACTGCCATATGGAAGAATCTCAAAGTCAACTTTGACAATGTTGCAATGGGCTACCTTGCTCTTCTGGAAGTTGTGAGTAACAGAATATGTTTCTGCTTATAACTTTTTTATATTTCCAAACATGTGAATATCTTATTTGAAGCATCTTTCTTGACAGGCTACATTCAAAGGATGGATGGATATCATGTATGCTGCTGTGGATTCTCAGAGCAAAGTAATATATTATCTTTTATCTCAGCATTCCTAACTTTTTAAAAATGTAATATTAATTACCAGATATGACACATACCATGTAATATTTCACATTTAAACTTTTAACATAAGTTAAATGTAAAAGTAACAAAATAATTTAAAAAAATTCTTAAAAATACTCAGTTTGAGGATAAAATACTAGAGTGCATTATGTAGTTCAATACAAAGGATGCATTTGGTCCTGTGGAGAGGGATATAAAATTAACAGAAGAGTAAGAAAACTTGTGTTTGATTGAATAATTGCAAATGAACTTCATGGCAACATATTTGTTCCCTCCCAAACAAAATTAAACAAGAGATGGTGCCAGTTTAACAAATTATTCATTTCAGAAACAGGGGCTTCAGTAGTTCATGGAAGAACCCTGCACATCAACTACAACCTGGAACCTTCTCCTGATACTGATCACCAGTTCGGTCATGCACAGCTGTAGGATTATGCACACAGTACTTTTCAGTAGGTCTATGTGGGTGTGGTAATCACTCTGGCATGTACAGTTTGTCTCCTCTCTCTCAGTTCTGGATGATACATTATTTTGCTCCCCCAAACAAGATTGTGGTTTGGTGCAGGGTTTATCTGATTCCCACAAGTTTCATAATCCGATCTCAAATATTGACTGGTTTGAGATTGGCCCCTATATTAACAAGGCAAATTTTACGAGTGGGTGGCCATGTCCCCACACCATCACACTGTCACCACCAAAACCTATTATCTATTCAATATTCATCTCAGCAGCAACCTCCACCAGTTACAAGATGGCATTAACTGTGTCATGTAGCATAGTAGTGTTAGGTAGTATATACAGGGTTGTTCAAGTCCAGTCCTCGAGAGCTACCATCGTGCAACTTTCGGATGCATCCCTACTCTAACATGCCCGAATCAAATTACCAGGCCCGTTCTGAGCTGAATGACTGCTGGTGAGGGAATTCAGCCATTTGATCCCAGTCTGTAGGAGTAAGGATGCATTTAAAGTTGCAGGACTGTAGCTCTTGAGGACTAGACTTGAGCACCCCTGATATACAGCATATATGAGTTTGAGTTTTTGTGTATTTTAAACCTCAGGAGTGTTTGGGGTGGAGTTTTATTTTCTGCATTATTTAATCGGTTTCTCCTTACTTTTAGAAAATATGTCTGTTGAGTTCTAATTTTAAAAATGACAGTCATAGAGAACGTCTACATAATTTTTTTTCTGTGCATTGTCAGAAAAAGATGGCATTTAAGTCCAATTAAAAGTTAACACTATTGCAGGATTTGAAACCCAGATATTGCTTTGGGATAGACAGGCAATATATCCATAGTGTAGCATACTCCATCAACTACTATAATTCCAACTATAAGAAATAATTCTGTTTCGTTAGTGAAATGCTCAACGCAACAGATTGTAGACCGGCTTATTTTATATATAAATATACATATTTATATGTGCAGTCCTTGGCACAGCCTAGATACTGCGCAGGACCCTCAAGCTCCCAGGCCTCTGGTAGAGGACCCGAGCTCAGAGGATAAGAACCACTTGCTTTGGGTGAGAAGGGAATTTATATATACATAAACTTAAATGCTTAACCTTGTGGAGGGTGGGAAGGGGTAAGTAAAGTCTTGCCAGACTGTCAGGCTTATAATACACTGGGGGAACCCTGAAGGAGCTCTGAGTTCTACATCCATCCATTTTCTGCACACTCTTGTCCTTAGTGGGGTCAGGACATGCGAGAGGTGGGGTACACCCTGGACAGGTTGCCAATCTGTCACAGGGCAACACAGAGACAGACAGGACGTACAACCATGTACACGCACTAAGGAGAATTTAGAGAACCCAATAAACTTGGCAGATTTTGGACTGTGGGAGGAAGCCAGAGTACCCAGGGAGAACCCATGCATGCACAGGGAGAACATGCAAACTCTATGCAGAAAGACCCCCGGCCTGGACTCTACTTTCTTGCTGCAAGGCAACAGTGCTATCTACTGCACCACTTTGCAGCCCTCTTAGTTCTACATTTACATTTTAATTTGTGTGTTTTGTTGTGTCTATTACAGGTAGGAGAACAGCCAGAATATGAAATCAACTTGAAGATGTACCTATATTTTGTTGTTTTCATCATCTTTGGGGCATTTTTTACCCTAAATCTCTTCATTGGTGTCATTATAGACAATTTCAATCAACAAAAGAGAAAGATAAGTGTCACATTTTCTCTTTAAACAACTACTTATGTTTTGCTGTAGTTTAACATTGTTTGTTGTGTCTTTTTACTTAGGAGGTCAAGACATCTTCATGACTGATGAGCAAAAGAAATACTATAATGCTATGAAAAAGCTGGGATCAAAGAAGCCACAGAAACCAATCCCAAGGCCAGAAGTAAGTAAATCAAACTTAGCTAGAGAATGACTTTTATCAGTTTGGCTAGTTAATCAGCCATTTTAAATTATTGCAGTCAGTTTTGAGGATGTGTAAAACATTCATGTGCATTGGGATGCACAGAGGGAGATGTATTAAAGTAGGTTCTGCTTGTTTGAAAATTTTATCACCTTCGTTTTTAAGAATTATTTTGGCACTTTGTTTGACATTAATAGTCAAACAACAGGAAGCTCAAGATCAAAAAAAGCTGATCGTAATCTGACAGGAAAGGGCAAGAGAGAAGAGGGGAAAGACAGGCGGCAAAAGAACCCGGAAGCAACGGGAATCAAACTTGGGATAGTTGTGTCAAGGTCTTTAAAGGGATTATCAGTCAATCTCATGTTGCACCAGCAGGCATGTCACCCGTAGAAAGCAGGCAATCATTATAACTTTTTAAAATATTTACAATTAGGCCAATAAAATTATTTACAACTCGCCACGGAAATGTTTGTCTTATTTAGAGAGACATATCACATTGAGAGCTAATGATCTTACCATGAACAAAACTGTTCTAATATGAGGGATGTCCAGCCACTGAAGTTTGGACCATTTTCTCTCATCATTTATCCACTCACTTGCATCTAATGTGTTTTGGTCATTAATACACATTTTCCTATTGTTTATTTTTTTGTATGTGTCTTTTTTGTTTCAGAACAAGCTTCAAGGATATGTTTTTGATTTTGTCACTCAACAAGCATTTGATATTTTAATAATGGTTCTGATATGGTTAAATATGGTAACTATGATGGTGGAAACCGAAGGACAAAGTGATGAATGGGAGCGAAACCTCAGGATCATTAACATAGTGTTTATTGTTATCTTCTCTGGAGAATGTTTGCTAAAGATGATTGCACTTCGCCATTATTTTTTCATCAATGGCTGGAATATTTTTGATTTCATTGTGGTGATCCTCTCAATTGTTGGTAAGACTTTTCTTTGGCTACTGTTTTGTGGAAAAAATACTTAAACTTTTGTATATGTTTGCTTATTTGTTAACTTTAATGAATTATTCTTTATTTCCACAGGCATTTTTCTTGCAAATGTGATAGAGAAGTATTTTGTCTCACCAACCCTGTTCAGAGTGATTCGACTGGCTAGGATTGGTCGCATCCTTCGCCTTATTAAAAGTGCCAAAGGGATCCGCACCCTCTTGTTTGCCTTGATGATGTCACTTCCTGCCTTGTTCAACATTGGCCTCTTGCTATTCTTGGTGATGTTTATCTATGCCATCTTTGGCATGTCAAACTTTGCCTATGTCAAGAAAGAAAAAGGCATCGATGACCTTTTTAATTTTGAGACCTTTGGCAACAGCATAATCTGTTTGTTTCAAATTACCACATCGGGAGGCTGGGATCTCCTTCTAGCTCCCATCCTGAACAAGAACCCGGACGATTGTGATTCTACAATGGAGCATCCTGGTAGTAATAATGCTAAAGGAAATTGTGGAAATCCAGCAGTGGGAATCACCTTCTTTGTGAGTTATATCATTATTTGTTTCCTTATTGTTGTGAACATGTACATTGCAGTCATCCTGGAGAATTTTGGCGTGGCTACAGAGGAAAGCACTGAGCCATTAAGCGAGGATGACTTTGAAATATTTTATGAGGTCTGGGAAAAGTTTGACCCTCTTGCAACACAGTTTGTGAAGTGCAGCATGCTTTCAGACTTTGCAGATTCTTTAGCTGCACCATTACGTATTCCTAAGCCCAACAAATTGGAGCTCATCTCTATGGATCTACCAGTTGTGAGTGGTGACCGGATTCACTGCCTGGATATCCTGTTTGCCTTTACAAAACGTGTTTTGGGTGAGAGTGGGGAGATGGACATACTTAGGGCCCAGATGGAGGAGCGTTTCATGGCTGCAAATCCATCGAAGGTGTCGTATGAACCCATCACAACCACCTTCCGCCAAAAACAGGAAGACGTGTCAGCTGCTGTTATTCAGAGAGCTTTCAGACTTTATAGTAGGACCAAGATTTTTGATGCAGTCCGTGTTGATGTTGAAAAGGACAAACAGCTGACTGACAAAGAAGATTGTTTTACAAAAAAACCTAAGAAACTCTCTACCACCCATAAAGCTGAAGTCTCAGGGTTGAAGGACTCAGAGCCTTCAAGTACAAGTGTAACACCAAATGTGAACAGCAAACATGAAAAGGACAGAAGTGAAAAGGAAGTTGAGAGCAAAGACATCACGGAACAAGACAAATAAAAAAAAATGGAAGAGCAAAACAAACTTTAGAAATTGAAAAAAAAAATGTTTACAGCGTTTGAAATAAAATTCTTCCCTTTGGACTATTTTGCAGAAATTGGTATAATTATTTAAAGTATTTTTAAATACAAATTAATTATCGCTTTGATGACTATTGCAGCTACTCCGGTGATTATGCAGTACCAGTTTTTATTAAGTGACTTATTTATTTTCAAACAGAGAATGGTTTCATGCTATATGCATTTAATTTGTCAGTCAGTTGCCTTTTTATAAAACCCATTTTACTTTTAGGGTGGTTCTTTAAAGTTTCATTTAGAAAGGGTATTCTGATTTCAGACCAGCCTTAATTACTGTGCTAAGAATGTCTGCTAAAGCCACTTCTAATTCTGCATGAATGTTTCTCTTCATGGCTATGCATGCCAAAGAGTGCAGTTTCACCATGAGTTTAATTCCAGGCTGTATGCTACAAAACTATGGCTGAAAAACATCAAGACTGCTGATTTTTTGTGTTGATCAGTATCAGGACAGTAACCCTTAAAAAAACTGCACTTTTTCTAATCATTGAAGACGATTATGTATTCTGGGTTACACACATATATAACAAAAAATAAATTAATCATGCACATCCGTGTAAGCAAACTTGTTCTACAAGTAAAGCATTTAATTAATTTTTAAATAAAAACAAAAATTATAATCTTGTTTGCCTTAGTATTTACCTAAAGACAGATTTCTTGACTGTTGCAGGGAAGCTAATTGTTTTGAAAAGTTTCACTGACCCTAAAATAATGGCTTCTTCATTCTCTGTCTCTTGGTGATGTAAATTAATATTCTAATTTAAATAATCATAACATTGTTTGATATTATAAAATTCCATTTTAAATAAGGAACTAAATATACTGTGTATGTTGTATGGTATGTAATAAGATATTTGGATATGAACTAATGAGAATAAAGCTCTGTGAAAGACTTCTGGTAGAATTGGGAATACACTGTTTTCCAGTATACCTTTCAATTTTTATCATAGAAAATATCAAAGATGGCTTTGATGGCTCAGGTTGTTATGAAGAATCTCAAGGAAATTGTATCACACACGTCATGTGATCAATGCCATTTCCTGCCTCTGTTTACATTTTATATTGTTGTTAAGTTGTTACCTGATCTGGTGGGGAAGACATTAAGGTTCCATTGATGTAATTGCTTTTTGCATGGTGTTTTACACGTTATACTCAATGAAAGAGTGTTTTTGTTATATAAACTTCTGCTGATTGTATAAATCCATCCTATTTGAAATGCATCAAGATACCTGCATGCAAGACACTGATGTAGCACATTTTATTTAAAAGGGTAAAGGTTTAAATAAAGATTATAAGTATGTCAAGTCTGCTTGCCAATAATTTAACATTATTTGGTCCTGGTGTGTGTTGTTTTAGATAGTGGGAGTACCTGTTTTTTTTTTTTTTTTTTTAAAGAAAAGACTTTTTAAAGACAGTCACTCCTTAGCTTTTAGTATAAAACTGCGAAATTCTTTCTTGGGGGAAGAGGAAGTTCGCTCTTCTGTTTTTCATTTTGTTCTGGGACAAATCATTGGTTCTAGTCCAACAAACAAAGAATTAAGGCCACAGATCACAAAAAGCACCCATGGTATTTACTGAACTCATTGATAGAATTTGCAATATAATACCACTAAAGAGATCAGTAACTCTAGATTATGTGTTGCCATCATTCCGCAAAAAATACTAATTGTGTCATGGAATAAAGATATTAAAATATTCTAGAAAATATGTTAGGTGTTCAAAGCCATATAAAGATTTGTTGTTTTATTTAGCTGCTCATATTAGTGAATCTATTAAGCTTATGAATAAATGACTTTATTTCTTAAAAATCCCTCACTGGTATTATTATATTAGTGGGCTGTTTAGTATCGTAATTATTTCAACTGCTGTCAATGGGTTACCAAGTTTTCCTGGCATAGTTTCTCTAATTATATGGTGTGCAGCATATATTGATATATATTTCTCGTTTATATCAAGTTGTATAAATTTCAACTGAAGAGTTTACAAATATTTCCACTTAATACAAATTGTTAACATTAAGGAGTCATGGAATACAAGTAATAAAGCTGATGAGGGACATTTGTTTTGTTTAATTTCAGAAACTTGTAGCAACACCACAGAAATTATTCAATGATTTTATTCCACAGGTTTTACAGTCATTATATGGAAAATGGAATGCTTTCAGTAAAGCAACCGCAATCAACATTAGAGGGATCTCAGAAACTGTAAAATGTTGACCTTTTCAGCATCCATTTTCATTTGCAAGATATTAATGACCACTCAAACTCTAAATGGATCAACTTACAGTACATTACTGTCTTGAATTTCTAGGGAAATGGAAAGTACTTAAAAGTTGATTATCAACAAATGCTTTTGAATGACAAAATATGCAGATATTGCTTCAAAACATCAGCTCCAATTTTTGTGAAGACACAAATTTCTGAAATAAAAGTGAGCTCCAGTGGGTGCACTCTTTGGTGCCAGGATCTATTTTCTGAGGAGGCTGTCACAATATGCCGGAAGCTATTAGCATCTTAAGTGAATGGAACATGTTATTAATTATTAAAAACTGTCTAAATATTTGTTATTCTCCATCACTGCTTTTGCAAACTGTGGTTGTACATCCACACAGTGGGCAGTAAACGTAAGTTGATTGCAAAGTGCTCATTATTCCAGTCATCTTGTCAGATTATGACGCTCGTGGTTATCAGTTTTTTGCCGCACCCACAAACAGCTCTCAGATGTTGTTTTCTGGACAGACATTTCTATGTGTAAATGTTTTCCAGTATGCACTTCACAACGATTGTATCAGAGGAAGCAGCATGTCTCATGAATCTCAACTTTCTTATTCTTATAATGACTGCCTCCCTTAATTTTGTCTTCATAGTGATGTGAGAAATTCAACGTCCCTCGGTTACAAGATGCATCTTAATGAACACACAGCTCGCTAATGGCAACAAGTGCTGTTACATATTGCCTATTTTAATGGCTGTTAAATCAAGAATGATTCTGCAGACTCTCCTACCCGGTTGCCAGGCAACATGACAGAACACTCCTTTGTTCGGCTACATTAGGGTTGAAGGTCGGATGTTGGTCTGCCATCCCCATCCCCAGGAGTCCAGCATGCTTGGCAGTAAGACGTGGGCATGTTTATGAAAAAAGATGCCTATTTGGCTTCTATCTGGCCACTGGTATGCAAAAGGACTGTAGTAAAAAAAAAAGAAAAGAAAAAGAAATATTTCAAAGAGAAACCTGATATTGCTACCCATAACAGCTCTGTAATTGTATTGCTCCAGATAGATGGGCAGGAAATCCTATTATACTATACAGAGGAGAGTTATCGCTATACCTGTTAAATGTTCTATACCTGTTAGATGCACAGGAATATATATGTATGATATCTATATATGTAAATACATGTTTTATCTCTGTCTCCTAATCATGGACATTATTGAAAACATCATATTCACATGATCTTATTTTCTGTTTTTCCTACATCTCAAAACATGGAATGCAAACAGGACAGACTTTTCAAATGGAAACAAATCCTTCTTACACCTGCACTGCAAATGTTCAGGAAAAACAGAAACCTTTTGGGTAAACTAGCGTCTCTCCTCAGTTAAGTCCAAATCGATCATATTTCAGGATATTAGTTTCCAGAAACACAAATGAAGAGGTAAAATAAGAGTTCATTAGCAACTCAGTTGCTTGAATAATTGGGCATGGTGCTGAGATCAATAACAGTCTGTACAAACCACAATGGATACAGCCAGTAGAGTGCTAGCACTATATACCCCAGAGGATATGACTACATTGTCCTGTTCTAATAGGTTTTTAACCTTGCTTTCTTTAAAAGTGCAACAACTCATGCAATATGCATTGCTGTTTTCTAAGTACAGCACCTTAGTTGTCTGCTATGTTTAAGCTGTATTTTGAGAGTACTGTATGAGACAAAACTTTTTGTTTAAATTTTGTGTAACATGATAACAGGTGTTTATAAATACAATGCTATTTGAAATGTGTACTTATAACAAAGTTTCTTAGCTACAGTGTTGGAGCAAAATAAGCTCCAACACTGACTAAACTTATGTGGTACAGTAATTGGCCGCTGTTGCACATGAAGCTCGATATCAACCTAATTTACTCTGTGATTGATCTTCAGAGGACAATGATTATGTGTCAGAGTTAGTACTAAATAGTATCTGACAGAGCATGGAAAGGCCTCTGTTGGAACAGTTGCATGATAAACTCAACACTATGGACATCGGACTGAAGTTAGTTTGTGGTGTTACATAACACTGGCCTTCGAGTTTCCATGAATATGTTTCCAGTATCCATTGCAAAGTTAGTGTCAAGGAGTAATAATATTTCCAGTCCTTCTTGTGAAGATTAACAGAAAAAAGGTGCAAATAGTTTAAATGAAATAACTTCCTTCAAGGTTATCTTATGAGAGTGTATTTCTGATTAAAGGAAAAATAAATGACCTGACAATGTACTTACCTTGACCTTTGGTATATTTTAAAAAGTGTTAAGAAATGCTTTGAAATATATTGGCTAGGTTTTTGATTTTTGATTTTTATTTTTTAAGCCTACTCATACAAACTTATAAGTGTAATTCTAAATGATCTATATTCCAGAGAAACAAAACTTATCAATATTGCCTCTCCAGTATAGACTGTATTTTGCGATATAAGATTAGGATGAAGATAAAATACAACATTTTCCTGATTCTCAAAGTAGTCAGTCAATACAATCCACAATTTTATTAGTAAATAATATTTTTAGATATATTAGTAGCTACAATGTTTCTATTAGAAATAATTCCATTTTGGGGTATGTAATGACACTGAATAGCATCTGCCAGAAATGTTTGTATTACACACTATGATTTAAACCAAAAATGTTCACTTCACTTGTTTGATTTCATTGCAAATCAGAAAATATTTCAGTTGGAGAAAGCAAATGTCCATCCATAATCGGGGGATTTTGCACTGTATCCAATTTGTTTTTTGTTGTTCTTGTTGTTTTTATGGATACTTTTTGTAAACATTAGGATAATTTATATCAGATCAATATACAGAGTCTTTATGACTAATGAGAAAAGAAATAGAGAGAATTATGCCTAAAAGAACAGTCAAACAGATAAACTTGATGACTTATAAAAAGTATTTTTCCGTACAGAGTTGACGCCAACCCATCATCTAAGGAAGTGAATTGAAACGTTGGATAATTGCGCCCTCTTAAGTTGAAAGGAAGATTTACATGCTACATGCCTCCTTTAAGCCCTAAGTAAAATCTGCCAGGCATGGACAGTAGCGATAATCTTTGCGTATAAGCCTTGAATATGGTTAGGCTCATCAACAAGATTTTTAGACGGATATTTAAGTAAAATTTACATCGGTGTGTGGCATTGTCAGTTTTATAATCAGCCAGCCACGCGAAGTGACGACACTTTACGCGACGTCCCAAGCCTGGAAGTCAACAGTGAGGGTTTTGTTTTCCAATCTTGTGACAAAAAACCGTTTCTTAGCTACCAGACAACGCTGACGGGCTGAGTGCAAGATGGCGAAAATAAGACGGTTTCAACAGTAAATTAGCTGTGTCGTTATAAGCAATTTTAGTAGCGTGAAACATTGCGTTTTCCTTTTCCCAGTCAGTACTCCATCTACAGCGTTAAAGATGGAGGAAGAAGACACAATCCTGGTAAGCAAAGCTCGCTAATAATAGCATTCGGTGCTACATAAACAAAACGATAAAATAAACAAAAACAGTACAATCGGGAAGTCATTAACTATTAATATACTTTATTTACAAGATAAATAAAGTATATTAATTGGTAGTGGTCTGTAAGAGAAAGATCACATCAACAAGCAATTAAGATAATATACCATGATGACGAATGTTAATTAACAGAAATGCCCTTCTTTAACTCCTTTTTGTCATAGCATGATATTTGTAATTTTAATTTTCTTTTTTTTAAGGTAATCAAACTATTTGGCAGGCTGATCCTCAAATTGTTTTAACTCTCTTTTTTTTCTCGAAATGTTTTGCTCCAGGCTTTGATCAAGTACTACTGCTATGAAAAGTACTTCAATCATGCAATCAATTCTGTCTTAGCTGCTCAAAGGAAATTCAGTAGCCCCATCTACACTTTCTTCCACGCATTTGCAAGTCTTATGCAAGGTATGATTTTAAAGGATTACTAATATGAAGGGACGAGAGCCTTTGCCAAATATTTTTGTTTCTTCAGGTGAAATTAGAGAAGCCACGGCAGAACTGGACATGGTCAGAGATGATCGAGATCTGTCTCTCTGCACATTGATGG